CGGGTCCGGAGGCGCCCGGTTAGGAGGGCTGCTGACTGATTCAGAAGAGCGCCCCCCTATAGTGTATTTGGATTAACGAAGGAAGAAGAATAGCGGGTAGAACATAAAGGTTCCTGATTGGCCGAGCGCTTACCCCCACTACCAGCGTGACGTGGAGGCGGGAAGCTCTCGACTAATCGGTAACGTTTATGTTCTACCCGCTATTCTTCTTCCTCCGTTAATCGAAGTACACTATACCTTTCGCCTAGCTCCGTCCCTGTCGCACTCATAGGGCAGCCCCCCTTGAGCGCTCTTCGGAATCAGTCTGCTGGCGAGTGGTGCGACGGTCGTTTGGGCGATAGAGACAGACGTATGCTAGCAGCGGTGAGTGCGAGAGAGACGCGAGAGCTCAGCTGACTCCCGGCTTCTGGCGCCGCCGCCGCCCTCGTGCGGTGCGGCCGGTAGACCGTCCCCAGCTCGAGAGACTTTACAGAACTTCTACCTACCCTACCTCACACCACTCTTTCCCGACGAGCATCAACGCTCTCTCGCCACAGGGCGCTGGTCTGTGGCGGCGGTCAGTGGCGCCAAGACGATTTTCGCGAGGTGCAGCAAGCCGGAGGCACAACACCCGGTTATTCCACCCACACCCGGTTATTCCCCCCCCCCCCATTTTCCCTTTTTCCCCATATTTTCGCCCACTTAGGCAGGGACACCAGTGGCGGACTGGGCAGTCAAAGGAAATCTGGAAGTGGGGCCCAGTTTTTCCTACCTTCCAGGGGCAATATATACGTAATAATGCACACCAAGGCGCACATGTCTGGCCCGTTTCAATTAAGTGTTTGCTCTCTAGCATGTGCCGACATTTTAACTGTATATGCTACCCGTAGAAATATGTCGCGAGCGGAGCGAGCGCGAAATTTTTTTGATGGTATGAGGTCGCTAAGAAGGCCTTACGAGTACCAGAACGTGGGCAGGATTCCTTCGGACGCGATCTATGTACAGTGCTCTTTCAGAACAATAAAAAAACGCGAGCGAAGCGAGCGCGAAAAAAATTACATGGCGCTTGAATCTAGGGCTCAGGCCGGGGCCCCTGTCCGGTGTCGCGCTAAGGACTTGGGCCCGTGGCTCCACACGGAAAAAAATAAAAATCGGTTCCGTGCTAATCGATTTAGCAGGAAAATTTGGCACCCCTGCCAAAAAAGTAGCTACAGGATAAAATATTTAGCTGTACTGCTAAAAAGTATTGGTGATACAGCTAGACCATTGCTTCAGTTAGCTGTACAACTAAAAGTGTAGCACTGGAGCTAAAAAAATAAGCTAGGCCTATGCTGACGAATTTTTAGCACCAGTGCTAAAAAAATAGCTAGGGCGCTATATTTTTATTTTTTTTTGCGTGCATCCCTTCTCTCCAGCCCTTCGGGCCCGAGATGTCTGCGAGCAGGGGGCCCGGGTGGGGAATCCCACCTCCCCACATTGGCCAGTCCGCCACTGAGGGACACCCCCGCCCCTATTCTTTGCCGGTGCCGGTACTACTTGCTACTCGTTCTGGTTCCCTTTCCTTTCTTTCTCCCTTTCCTTTCCTTCCTCTTTCCTCTCTCTCTCCTTCTCTTCTCTCCCTTTTTCCCTCTCTTTTTTTTCTTCCTCCCTTCTTACACCCGGTTATTCCTACTCACACCCGGTTATTCCCATTTTAGGTGCAGCATTTGCTGCACCTCGGACCCCCTCTTGGCGCCACTGGGTGTAAGCCACAGCGCATATAAGCCATAGGTATGCAACAGCCTCATTGGCTCAGTTAGTAGAGCGCGTGCTCCGGATGCGAATGGTCTGGGGTTCGAATACTGCCCGAGTGCAATTTTTCCTGGTTTTCCCGAATTAACTGACCACGCCTCTAGTGAGATGAGCAGGTGGACCTGACCGACCAACTACTCAGCAGGTCCCGAAAAAGAGTTCGCCCCGATCAGGTCTCGATCCCTCGGCCGACGGTGTGCAGCGGCCACAGGTCCGGCACGCTCGCCACTCGGCTGTCGTCTCTGGCTGACGTCTGCGAGTTCAGAACTCAGTCCTGCGTTACGGGTCCTTGGACTTCCGTGAAACAGGTGGTCAAGTCGACCTCCTCAACGCGCTGAAGCCCGGGTCGGATAACACGGAAAATGGTCAAAAAACGGCCGGATTCAAGATTCAAGGCGCGCGGAGCGCCCTTCGTTGACCTTTTTACGTGTTATCCGACCCGGGCTTCAGCGCGTCGAGGAGGTAGACTTGACCGCCTGCCTTGCGGGAAATCAAGACCCGTCGTACAGCAGGACCGAGTTCTGAACTCGACTCCGATGTGTGGAGTCGGCAGCCGAGTTGTGAGCGTCCTTGACTTGGATACTTAGTCACCGGCGTCCGAGGGTTCGATTCTCGGGACGGGCAAATATTTTTGGAAGACGGAGTATGTGGTCAAGACCCCCTCCTCATCTCAAAAAAACCGGCCCCTAATCGGGACTCGAACCCGCGACTATCGGGAACCGGGTGCCTACGCCAAGGACGCTCCCCACTCGGCTGCCGACTCCACACATCGGAGTCGAGTTCAGAACTCGGTCCTGCTGTACGACGGGTCTTGATTTCCCGCAAGGCAGGCGGTCAAGTCTACCTCCTCGACGCGCTGAAGCCCGGGTCGGATAACACGTAAAAAGGTCAACGAAGGGCGCTCCGCGCGCCTTGAATCTTGAATCCGGCCGTTTTTTGACCATTTTCCGTGTTATCCGACCCGGGCTTCAGCGCGTTGAGGAGGTCGACTTGACCACCTGTTTCACGGAAGTCCAAGGACCCGTAACGCAGGACTGAGTTCTGAACTCGCAGACGTCAGCCAGAGACGACAGCCGAGTGGCGAGCGTGCCGGACCTGTGGCCGCTGCACACCGTCGGCCGAGGGATCGAGACCTGATCGGGGCGAACTCTTTTTCGGGACCTGCTGAGTAGTTGGTCGGTCAGGTCCACCTGCTCATCTCACTAGAGGCGTGGTCAGTTAATTCGGGAAAACCAGGAAAAATTGCACTCGGGCAGTATTCGAACCCCAGACCATTCGCATCCGGAGCACGCGCTCTACTAACTGAGCCAATGAGGCTGTTGCATACCTATGGCTTATATGCGCTGTGGCTTACACCCGAAAACACATGGCCGGCAGAGTGGCAAAAGGGTTTCGCCGACGACATTCGAACCAGTGAACATCTGAGTACAGGCCCATCAAATCAGGCGTCGCAGGAC